TGTAACAAATCGACGGCATTAGAACCATCATCAAGGACTCGCTAGAAATGTTCTTCTTCCTCACGACACGGTGATAACTTTGTCGCTGGCTCGAATGCCGCACTGGAGATTTTCGTCGGGAGCGAACGCATGCCGGAGAAACGTCTCGGGAACTGGCGATACGAGACGATCGTGAGCTGGGGATTTCAGATTTCAGGAGCGACTCTCGAAACAATTGTGGAGGAAAGCGTCATGGATATTTTTTTGCTTTACACCATATCGTCAAAAGTCTTACCCAGCCCCGACTTGGAACCAATGGCACCATTAGTCTCCCTCTGTCACAGGGCGCGGATGAGAGTTACCGTACATGCATGCGAATTCCGCGCCTGGTTGTGGAGGGATTGCAATGTATAGACTCAATAGACTGCGATCCCGGCTCTTGACCAATCGCCCCCTCCTCACGGGGAGCTTCAATAGTTGAATTCAGGGTATAGGAGCGACTATTGGTCGATTGAGCCGAATGTCGCGGAAAGCTCCAGCGATAAATGTGTTTCGCGGTAAATCAGGAGCGTCTTAGTACTCCAGAGGACAACTCTTACTCTTCTTGATGAGGAAGAAAAATTATTGCTGACCGGAACGCTTTATGGCGCCTCAGAGGTGCTCCGGTGGCTTTGTAGTGGCCGCAGGACCTTGACCAGAGCATGGCAATCATTCCATCATTCTGGATGCGACAATTTTCCTATTAAGGATGCAGACGAAATGTCTATCCGCCCTGAGGGAGCTGGTGGGGTGCCGCTTGTTCGCCATGGGAGGACTTAACCTGCTTTTCTATCTCCGAGAAAAAATACGTATTCTCTAAGTAGGCAGCAGCCAGCAGTGTATTCGTTTTCACCGATTCAATGACTGGAAAATCATGGGGAACAGGACAATTTTCAATCGATGCGACGCCCGCCGGCATTCCCCACTCGATTCTGAGATCCTGATTGCTCATCATGTCTCGGTGAGGGGAGTGGAATCGCGGAATTCGGCAGTCAGGGCGATCGGAAAACTCGGTGCCACGATCTGTAGAGTAGATGACTGGAGGGTGGTGTATGTAGTGCGAGGCTGTTTGCTTCCTTATCTAGATCAGTCGATGAGGTTGGTGAACTCGTCATCATCCAGGGCGCATCATCGTTCATTAATCCATCCATCTCTCTGCAGTGATGACCATTTGGCACATCTTCGTTTCCGAGCTGCTCGAGTGCGGTATTAAGGGAATCGAGAAGCGCAAACTTCTCACCCTCTTTCGAATATTTCTGCGAGAGCTCGCTGACACGGCTATGACTGACACGCACGGTGGGCACAGAATCTTGGAGAGCACTCGAGAGCTCAGGAAGAATCGGCTTCACATCTTGGGCGCTCGTCCTGATTCCGGAGACTCTCATCGGAGCTCCATGAGAGGCATTCCTCAACTCACGTGCAACGTGGCAATGCAGTTTTGAGAAAGACGGATAGTTTTAGAATCATAAATATTTTGAGACGTAACCCAGAATTATCAGGATCAAGTCACCACAATTGTGGAATTAAATGGCGGAGCATAGCTTGTAGTGTTCTCGGAGACAGCCGGGGTGTGCATCATCATTTGCCACTCCATTCGCTGCTTCGACGCGGATTCGAAACGTCGTAAGTCCGCTCCCTGGACACGGTTCGGGGTCTAGATAATTCCCGGAGCGTCAATTATGCGCAGATATGCTTTCCACGGGGTACCTACCTACCTACCTACCCACCAACCACAGACTCCATTCACGGGCTTCTCGGGCAAGCAGCATAGCTCATTCATGCGTCATTTATACATATGTACGTACTCCAATGTCTTCCATCCGGGAGGGCACCGAATGATAGGCTGTCGCGGCTGGGAATTTCGATAGGCAAGCGGCAAGCCACGCAAGCTCATTATCGGACAGAAATACAACCCGGAAAATCATTTGAACTACAATAGTACTAATGTTATCGGTAGTCAAAGTTCGGGAAGTTCTGCGATTCGCAATTCGGATCGGGCGGGAAAGCGCTCGGTGAGGAAGCGCTCGTCGAACCGCCACCACAAGCAACTTTACCGCGACTGAGCAGCCGGAGACGTTCGCTTGTTATGTAGTCGATTAACTCTGAATCCTTGACATACTTCACACGGAGTTATTCGAATCTTCTCAAAAGGGCACCTGAAAGATTTATTCGTCCGCGGATATTTGAACGAATCGTTCCCAGAAAGCCTTCTTCTTCGTTCTACCCTCAACGCGGACGAAACGTGCCGCCGGTGCTCCCTGTGACAGTATTGAAAGAGGCTGCACCCTAAGATTGCTGCGGAACCGCAGGCTCAAGCGAGGATAATTTCCCGCTCCGAACCCCGTACGTTCCTTCGATTTCTTCGACTAGTCCCTGGCTGGGGTGATTCGAAGATATCCGATTTGTATTTTTTGCCGACCCGATACTCTTCTGATGATCTCTACGTACCCGGAATCGACGACAGCTGAATAAGGATCGATACTTGTAACTTAACGATTGGGATGATACAGGCGGTCGACGTCGTAAACCGCGACGTATCGGGACGGAATCCATCCCTTCGGATAAAATTGGCGTAGACAACACCGGCAAATATGCTGTGTCCAGTTCGGCGTTTTACTACTAGATGTTCGTATTCAAAGACGCCCGTAAGAGCCGTCGGGATACCGTGCTCTCGGGACGCGATAACGGTACTCGTACACCCTCGGAGAAGGTGCATTTCCGTGAGTTTCGGAGCCAGTAGCATCACGGGGGGGGGGGGCGGGTGAGCGTCAAGTGTCAAGTGAGCTGTTCGTAGTAAAGAGAAAGAGTGCGGGCCGCAGGAGATGTCACCCTAGCAGCAAGGGCAGCAGCGCTCAGCAAGCGCAGCAATTCTCAATCAACCTCATCTCAGACACCTACGAGCCCGAGTCTAATAGGGTACATGCGGAGCCGAAAATATCAGTGGATTATTTATCAATCACACTGAAGAAGAGTCTCCGAACAACGAAAACCTACACAGCGAATTTGCCGTAGACCGACATTTTTCCCCAATCCGTCGGCTGGCTTTCCGTAGAGATACTTCTGGAAGTATTCCGTTGCAGTGAGTCTCCGTTGCAACGGAGCGATTCTGCCGGTGACGCGCGGTTCGTCGTGAGTATATGTTTATTACTGTTTGCCATCAGTTTTGAAGGGGGTGTCCGAGCGCGCTTCCGCAGGAATTCGCTGCGATGCTCTCTTAGGACCTCAGACGGCCGTAGCCGTGAAGTCGAATGGAACGATAGCTTCGACCCTTCCGGGACATAAAATGTCACTGTAAGGGGCCGCTTCCAAAGTAGAAAACATTGGATGCGTCGAAGTTCCCATAAGATTTTTCGGGTCACATATGTATGAATACGCGGAGCATTGATCCGCACTATTTGACTTTGTAAAGGTCGAAACAATCAATCCAACCGCCCGTGGGGCGAAAGATTCGAGTACTCCCCCGAGCAGATTCCTCGATCGAAAGAGTTTTTCTTCTGGATTTCATGGACGACAAGCCAGACGAAAATTAATTCGAGACACAAGCGAGCGATAAAGTGAGTGAAAGCGAACGCTTCGAATGGAGTTCATGTCGTTCGATTTCTGGTGGTATCCCGTCCGTAGATCTATTCGGCCTCTCAAGTTATCTGATCGATGGCTGCCAAGACGATTCGCAGCATTTCACCAGCAACTTCATATTGCGGCGACGGCACCGCACGCTACTCGACGTAATCTTAATGGGCATAAGAGCCATAAGTCGCTCACGCTTTGCTGTTGTCTGGGATGCCTCCCATACCTGCTCGTCCGTCCGCCCGCCCTTGCTTTCTGTCATTATCAAGCCATAAATGGTTCAGTATGTCGCCACAAGGGGCGTCCGAATCCACAGGGACCCCAGCAGGTTCACTGGAGGATTCCCGACAGGCGGTGGCGTCTTGACGGAGCTGTCCTCAAACAGAATGAGCACCGACGTCGCTCGAAGATCGCCAGCGTGATTTACAGCATTCTATGATAAGCTTGTTTCTTCGGACTTCGTCCGCGGCTCCCGTCAACTACACATACATGTACTACTATATACGCTCACAAGGCGACTGGAAACCGATCACGCACCGAAAATGAACGCGATATTCGTCTTCCGCCAATCAGGTATACGGGATTCCCATCTTGGATTTGGTCTCAGCGTTGTCTTCATCCGCTGTCAGGATTTTTTGGGGTCGTGTAGTGCTGCCTCTGCGCCGAGCGGAATTTCTCTCTTTAGATAATTTTCGTTTTCCGATTAAAGCTGTAATGATTTCAATAGGTGCGAGGTTTAAGTGCGATCTGACCGGTGCTGACATGAAGATCAGCGTTTCCTTGACCGGAGAGTTGCAGAATCGGGCAGAGCAGCTCAGAATCCAGAACTTGTTGGTTTTCTGTGGGAGGAAGATTTTTTTTCAACCAAAGGGGAGCACGTTATTTAATTGCGAATGTATCAAATGCGGGTGATATGCCGCTGGTTTGCCTATCTCATCCTTATCACCCATGCACGCGTCTTCTCTCCACGCTTCCAAATAAACATCGTAAAATGTAACTCTTTCGAACAAAACAAGAGAAGAGGGGATTTCCTAATGCTTCGAATGCTCCGGACCCATATTGGGAGGATTAACGTGCCGTTCATCGTAGCGCTCGGATACCATCTCTGCTTCCTACGACAATGTACATAGATATCGCTTTGAGTCGTTCATGGTTCTCTAGCTGGCGACGCGACGCCGAAGCGTCACAGCCATCGAGCTCAAATCGAGAACCGGGAAATATAGCAAGAGAGCAGCGGATTAAGACATCAATGGACGCAATTCGATCTTGCTCGCTATCAAATGAAGGGCTCGAGTCGATTTCTGATCGAACTCTCACGGCCCCCGGCTCTATCGGGAGGGCCCTCTACACCCATTCACGACGAGTGTCGCTAGGAGAGCTGCTTCGAACTGATAGAAATTTTTGGACTGTTTCAGCAATACTGGAATTGGAACCGGTCGCTCTGCGCCTTTACAGCATAAAAGGAGTGAAAGCGAAGCGGTACTTGTGCATGGACGCAAAAGGTCGACTCATCGGCATGGTGAGTAAGAACGTTGTATTATACACCATTTTGCTTACGGGTGCTACGACGTCTTATCCGATTCGAGCTCGTCCCGGGATCCTCGTGACCTCATGGAATTTTCGACGACGCAAGCACCGGGTCACTCCAGTGGAGCGTCTCAAAATGCTCTTTCGAATCAATGAATGAAAAACAACACGGGGGCTTGTTCTCGCCCAGCTTGTGAGATTGGCTCGTCGCTAATCTTGTTGTGGAGGGGCTTCTCTCGAGAAATCGGGGAAGGTGGGCTCGAGAAGCTCCTCCTTGTTCACATTAGCTCGAGTCGAGCCGAACATCAGCGAAGAGAGTGCTTCATCGCTCCATCTCGCATTCAGCAGCGAGAGCGTCCCGAGCTTACCCTGGATTATATCCGGCTGCGGTCCTTGATTTTCTGTTCCACGCTCCGTTTATTTGTCTCCACTCTATCGATCTCTGGTGGCCCAAGGTTTCACAGGAATCGGATCGATCCAGATTCCTCCGAGCCTTACACCCGAAACTTTGAATCCGAGTAGGCTCGCTATGGAATGTGCGAATGCAAGTCACTTGGATCGCCGTCAGCATTGGATGTTGATACCGAAACGAGCTGTTGATTTTTTGCGGTAAGTGGACTCGGGGAGCTCGAATTCGCGCAACGTCAACGTCTTGGTCGAAAGTGCCCTTGAACTCTCCAACTAGAAGAGGGTCACGCCCGGGAGTGAACTATTTAGCCCGTGTTCCGATCCACCCGTCTCCCGTTGCTGTGGACGTTCGGAGTAGGAACATCTGCATGTTTCGGGTCCTCCTCGAAAGAGGGGTGATTGAAGATTCCGATACCGCCCGATGAATCCAACTTACGTAGAATGAACTTGGGTCGTTTCAGATAGGGATACATTTTCAATGAGGAGCCATCGAGCTCTCGAGTGATCTCTGAAAGGCGAGAGACAAGGAACTCCCCCGCTCTCTCTTTCAGTTCACGTTTAAATAAGATATCTCGAAAAGGGTTTCTCTGGCACGGATCGACGACTCGATTTTGAGGTCACAGTTTCATCAGGGGGCGCGCGAAGGTTCGGGGAATACAGAATCGGCTCCGAGTGCAGGCCGAATCACGGATTACTTGATTGGTTCCTGCCCCTTATGATTCCCCTCCCAGGCTGAATCTGTTGACAATGGATCTCTCGAGGGGAACGAAACCTCCTTAAAAGAGGGAGAAGTGTATTGCGCACGACATTTCGAATACCGGGCGAGCCTCTCTCCAATCCTCGCTCTTGGCCCGGGAAGAGAAAGCGGGAAGTGACGTCACATTCGATATCGGGCTCCGAGCAGAGCACTGACCTGGAGAGCGAATAGGGGTTGAAGATTCACAAAGTGACGCAACGTTATGCGAGGCGGCGTCCGCTGATGGAGCTCTTTGAGCGTAAGAGAGAGCCTTGGCATGGTTGCGTAACTCCGACCTCTTCCGAGGGCCAAATCGACGCTTAGGTCTTTTTCATCGATTGGACGTAGCATTTTCTTCCTTTCTCTCCGAACAAGAGCCCCAAGAGCAAAGTGGAAGTCAGGAACATCAGAGCAAACTTTGGGCAAGAGCCAGTAAGAAACTGTGACAGCAGGAAACCATTCGTCATTCCTGAGTACACATGAAACATAGTGTAGCTGGTGAGAGTGTGGCTCTGTGTTTTCGTTGGCGAGGCGGCGCGGCGTCTGTTCTCAGGGAGACGAAGAAGTTCTCGCTAGTTGATTAACCTCGTTGAAGGTCGCAGGGCCGACTCGGAGTTCAAGGCCCCGAGTACTTGGCGAATACTTGGATTCCTTCGCTCTATGTAGATGCTTCGGCATAGCTGACGTTCCGACGAGATGGGAGGGATTCCTCTATCGCTCGTTTATGTAAGCTCAGAAGATATCGGGGCTTACGGCAGCTTCGGCGGAATCGCTGACTCTGCCTTCAGCATATCTACGAGAGCGTTGCCCCTCTAGCGGACTCAGTCACTCAGATGGCATCGGTCGGCGTTCGACTCGAAGGTGGAATGGCCCTTTATCCTGGTCATTTGAAGCCGGCGAGCTGCTGGATCGCAATGCAGACTACCGCGGTCGATCGGTCAGCGGTGTTTACAGGTTAATTCTACGGCAATGTACAGCCTGGATCACAATATTCTCCCGGCGAACCGCTCCTTTACTCCTGTCGAGAAGACTGAAATTCGTCACAACACCATGGGGAAGGGAGCAATGGGGAAATTCTTTCGGGATGTCATGTCATATCATAAAGGTCTGGGAAGCGGCGATTCGCTGTCGTTGCAAGGGTTCGTTGCTTGCAATTACGGGAACGCTGATGTGGTTCCTCATCGCCAGAAAGCTGTGAAAAAAGTCCCCCATGGAATTTCGGATGGCCTGCACAGGTCTCTCTCATGCGCCACTTCCTCGATGTCCCCTTCAACGAACGAAGGAGTTATGATCATTGACATCTGGGAAACCCCCGCAGAGAGATGTCGCGTCGACACCAAGCTTTCTTCAAATCACAGCTTCCGGAAGCCTCTTCGTGCTAACGGGAACAATTTGCAAGTGAGCGTTGAGACTTGGCGCACATTCGAAAAACCGCCATTTCCGGCGATCTAGTTATAGTCGGAAAGAATCGCTTTCGCTTCGAAGGGCTGGTCTGAGCCTCCTCAACATGCATATTTCGGCGACGCCAATATCGTCTAGAGGGGCTGTGGAGCCCACTCATATTCTCCAAACCATAATCGCCTTTTTTTCGGAACATCCTCATGGAACCTCATAGAGAAGTTCTACCGGACATCTCTCATTGAACTTAGCACATTCTCCCTCTGCGGTTTAATACGACTTTTCTTTCCGAGAAGGGGCGCGATTAGCCGCGGCTGGAAACATATTTTCCTCGACAATCAATCGTTCCTTCTCAGCGCGGTAAAAAATCGTCGTAGTATAATACCTATCCACAACTTTTCCGTCAATAACATTCTTCACAGGGCTTTCAATGACGTTTCGAGTTGACCAACTTCCATTTTCCTGTTCCAGAGGCGGCGCTCGGAAAAGTGTCTCTTTCACGCTTCTCATCGACCGAATGGCTCGTTGACATTTTCGACGCTACGCACCACCTTGCACGGAGCCCCGATACGTTGGTTCGTTGCTATCAATAAGAGAGGTGTGGCGAAACGAGGCCGGAAAGAAACTCATAAAGGAACAAACTTCCTACCGAGAACAGCTTACCGTCACCAGGCGCGGGTTTGAGGGCGAGGAACTTTCTCGAGGCCAAACTGGAGTTCGCGGCCTGAGATCACAGCACGGATACCGAAGGACATGGTGAAGTCGTTCAATCATACTCCCCGCATTCTGTAATTATCAAGCGGAAACTCGGTCGCAGAACAGCGGCTTACTCAATTGGTACATTTCATACGTGAGGTTCCTTGTGGGGAGCAAGGAGCAGACACGGGACACAGGCCGAATGGTCAGCTCCTGGTCGAACGTCCCTCTCCTCGACTCACTCACATCATCGGCCTGCCAGGTTATGTCATGTTTACCGTAACTCCACCTTTCACTTATTTTTCGATGATGCCTCGGCTTCCTCCTCGAGGACGCGATATTGATGGAATATTGAATCGGAGCCGTTCCCGTCGGGCTGCATTTCCCACTTCCGAGAAGCGTAGCGTGAAGCATATGTGTGTGAATAGGTTGTAAAAGCTAAAGAGGATTGAGCTGAAAAGCAATGAATTGAGCGACGACATGTGAAATAGATTAGTAAACTACAAAGGGAGCTTCCCCTTGATTCTGGCTTCCGAAACTCGCGATCGATCGTAGTTTCCTTCGCGAATGACCTAGGCTCTCGCGACGAGCTCCACCATGTGTAATTTCTGGTAAACGATCGCTAGGTAACATCGAGGCTTTTATACTCTATTTATGGGACTTCAGGATCGACTGCTCTCGGTGGCTCTTTCTCCATTGAGTTCGTTGCTATCCTGTCGCTCTCCATACCGAGGGTAGTCAGTCATCCATTTATCTCATGTACAAAGCATTTCCGAGTATTTATTCAGCATTTATCGGAATAGAATCCTGAGTCTTGATGGAATTCTCAACATCCTTCTCGTCTTGTCCATTTATGTATATCGAGGCTCAACCGATGGGGAAGCGATGCGGCCTCGACACGTAATTAACGATTTCTCATACTTCCTCCGGAAATCATCTCCGATGCCCTGTCGAGGGATCGATCAGCGAAATTCAAGCAAAACTCTCCGCCCTCTATGGTCGTGATCGTCAGGATACGGAGTTCGAGTCCTGAAGATGTGCGTCGTTCATCATCGAGTCAAGCAAGGCTGGATGAAGATTTGTTTCCAATAAAAGAGTCAAGCTCCACGATATTCCTGGGTCATCTTTCGATTGGATTCGCGTTCCCGATCCCACACCACAGCAGAGGGTCATCAGTCAGTCATCATACGAGGGTGTTTCTTTGCCGGAGAGTAGACCACTTGGTGGAAAAGGACGAGAAAACGAGCATGCTTACGATCGTTCCGAGTTGGCCCCAGCTCATAATTTCCGAATCCGAACATCTCTTATCAGATTAAAACAGTGAATCCAGGATTCGCATCTATTCACCGCGAAGGATGATCCACGAAAGCTACTCCCGTCGATGCCTGAGGCTCAGGTTTCATTTCGTCCTATCCCGAATATCTCCATCCCGCGAGCTATTCGCATCGAGTCGCCGAAAAAGTTCTGCTTCCCCAGATTCGATGATACCGTATCACAGTAGTGAACTTCGTTTTGAACTCCTTAGCGCTCAGCTAGTCAACAGAGCATGGGTATCTCCAGTACAAGAAGAACGCTGTCTCCTTGCTTCGAGTCGTATCACTCGGGAATAACTCGCCGTTCACGACTGATAAGGCATTCAGATCTATGACTGACCGCATGAACCACCCGAAAAACGGAGACAATATGGCAATGGCGAATGGAAAGCGGACCAACGGAAGAGGGGCAACATTTCCTCATGTAGGAGAGTACATCACGATTCTATCTAGCTAAAAATCGATCGGCTTGCCCGATCATCGAAGGAAAAAACCTTGTGAATGAAGTAGCTTCGACAACATCATTTTATTTTACCCCAATCTATACGAAGTATCTCATCATTCGTGAATGAAACTCTAGTACCCCGGCCATCATACGCATTGGATGTTTCAAGTTGCTCCCATCTTCAACAATATGGTACATTTATTATAAGCCTCTCACACTTACTCCATATACAGTCCATCCCATTCATTCGGTTTTTGAAAATAGCTCCCCTCGTCTAAAAGTCAGGTGGAGGGCCAGGTATTGAGTCCGTTGGGAAATTCCCGACCCGGATCGCGTCTGGAGTGATTCAGTACATGTATGTATAGTGCCGACGCAGCTCAATAAGCGATTAAAACTAGTCTCCACGCAAGAAAATCGTTCAGCCAAATATTGCGAACGAGTCTTCAACCGATCGCTGATGATCTGATCCGCGAGCTCACTCTGCGCTGCACCTTAGGTGATCATCAGGCGGATGTCTGATTGCGCATTTCCAATGATTCCCCCCGCTTGTTCTCCTAATCGACGCGAGCGGAGTCCATCGGAGTCCCCCGTGAACTTGAAAAAATACATACCTTCCCCACATGAGATATTGTTCACCCGAGACGGGCTCTTACGCACTTTCTTTAAACTCTACGAGCTTATCGTGAAGCTCAGCGGCATCTTCTTTGCTTTTCACTTTAATCAAGAACATCGTCGGTGCCGGCGCTTCATCGTCCTGCTTCGGGTTCGGATTTAGCGGCGGATTCGGAACGCAAATGATGGCGACGTTATTGTTCTTCATCCGACTGACTGGCATGTTCTTGTCTGGGGAGAGGGGAAATCGAATTATAATATGGAATAAGAGCCCATGGTCATCGGGACGGATGGCCCGAAGGTCTCGAAGGTTTCAAAATCGAAAAATAACTCACTCAGACGAATATTGAGCAGGATGTTCCCGAGGGTTGTCTGCGCTCGCACGAGCAGCTGATGTCCTCCGCCGTCGAGCGCGATGATGTGCAGGAAGCCTACACCTTTTTCCGCGAAAGCGCCTTTATCGTCGGGCTGTTTCTTCTTGTAGTAGAGTTTCACTTTTTTCGAGTACAGCGATCCCTCGACCTCAACTGGTGCGATTTCCACCTTCGGGGGCTGATCCTCCTCGTCCTCGTGATTCGCTGTCGCCTGTGAAGCACTCGCGGGGGCTTGGATACCTGTCGTGCCAAAACCTTGGAAACCCGAAGTCGGAGTTGTCCCGAGACCGAAACTGAATAACGGGGCCTTAGTCTGCGGATTTCCCGAGGTAGAGGCTGATGTAGGCGGAGCACCGAACGGGAGCGACTTCGCGGCAGGTATGGGGCTCGCAGCCGGGTCCTCGGATTCTCCGTCAGCCTTCCCAGAGGTTGAACTCAAGCCAAAAGAGAACTTCTTGCCTGGGTCCACGGGCTTAGCGAACTGGAACTCCGGCTTGGAATTGTTCTCCGGGCTCGCGGACTTCGGCGTCGTGTCGAAGTTGAACAGCGAAGTTGTTGCATTGCCGCCGAACATGGTCGTTTTACTCGCGCCCTGGGTTTGGAAACTGAATGTTTGTTTCGGGGCTTCGGTCTGTGACTTCGTTGGGCTCGGTTCGGCTATCGAGGTCCCCGCCGGAGTCGGTACGAGAACATTGTTACTGGCTGTCCCGTTGTTGTTATTTTTTCGCTGCCGCTCTTCTTCTTCCTCGGTTAGTCTCTGAAAATGCTTCATGTAATCCTCGAAGCACGGCGTCAGGTTAATATAGGCGCCGTTGCCCATGAGGCGTGTTATACAGTCGAGAATGTCTTTATTCAACTTCGCCACCTGGGTAGGGAAGAGAGAACAAGTCAGTTTCACTGGTGTCGCTTAGTACATCGAGGAATATTGTAGGTATCTGCCCCATCGCAGAAAAGATATCTCTTGTCTCTTATTTCTTATCAACGCTAGCATTTACTCACTTTGCTAAGGTATTCGTCTGATGTTTTGACCCCATTCGAGGGGCTCACCGTGGAATTCGTCATTGATGTTGATTGACCCGGCGGATTCGGTCCACCGTTCCCTAAGAACGAGAATCCGGCAAATGGCGACACCCGCGGCGCTGACGCTGGGATTCAGAATTCAGGATGTGAGTTGTCGTAGTGTGTTTCTCACGTTACATAGTTTAAGCTTACTCATGATTCAGTCCGAAGCGGCGGACTAGAATTGCGCCGGCACTTGCATGAGATCAAAAAGGGGGAAACCGAAAATTGGTACGGAGTGGCCGGAAATGATCTCGGCCAAAAGTTGCTCTATGAGCGACCATTGAGCAGCTAAGCACGTTCTTGAAGACGCACTCGAAAGAGAGTCGATCGGCTGGAAGCTCGACTTGAGAATTCTCGTCCGCAGTTTCTTCTTCCGCGCAAATGAGAAATGAGAGTTCGGAGCCGAGTATGGCTGAACTCGATGCTATGAATTTCGAGGACCGGGACGGGAATGGAGCGGTATCCGTCGATTGGGAAGGGACACGAGTCTCCAATTCCTTTGCTACGGAACACGCAAGGTACCGGTAGCGAGACGAAGTGGTCGCTTCCGAGAGAAGCCTAGAGGCCATGAAACACTACGGCACGTAGAAAATGAAATCAGCCGGATCCGATAGCAGAACCCATGAACGTCGATTTGTATCAAGCGGAGGCAATTGCCAGCTTTTCATTCGCACCAAGCGCGATGTTGAGCTCGAGTCGCCTACCCACCATTGTTGGTTGTTGGCAGAGTTCTTTTCGCTTTCCGGAACGTCCTCCGAGCAAGCACCTCATCTGAAGCTCTCTCGAACTCCCCGGCTTCTTCGGGAGTGTCGTCCTCTTCCAAATCATCCTGCGTTAAAGTTTTTTCCGCACGCCGCTTTGCCATTGTCGAAAACAGAACACGGAGAAAAACACACACACACGCACACGACGACGACGACTGACCGCGATGCAAGCGCTCCTCCTGCCCCTGCTGCTCTCAATCGCTCAATGTGGCGCGAACTCACCTAACTTGTCGCCAGACACAGAGCCCGGCGCCTGCGACTATTGCAAACGAGACGGTCTCTCTCCGGATACGGATTGAAAATCCCGCTCCGTATTGAGCCTAGACGATGGGATCGGTACTGGATCTTCCCTTGCCCAGGAAGAGAATTCGAGGATCGAGCAATCTTAGATTCGGAACTTTTTCGGAAGTGAGAGAGAAGACCACCGAGCCAGCCCACGGAGCCGCGATCTGAAACTGTACACGTCAATGCAGTGCACGGAACCAAAATAACACCAACTGGGCGAACACGGGTGATTTTGGAGAACCCAAGTCGGACTTGACTCAGCGTTCATCAGACGAGAGGTAAGTGAGCTCATCATGAGCAGAATTGATTTAGGATCGACGGGCGAATGCTCGCTCTCGCTGAAGCCACGCGTTCGAACAGAATTTTTTCTGAGAATGCTCTACTGAGGATGAGCCGGGACTGTCGTCTCGATGGTCAGCCCCGTAGTCGTAGTCCGCTCGTCCGTGGTATCAGCCCGACGGTGTTTATCTTTTGTGCAATTTTTTTAACTCTCCGAGTTGTCAGTCGTAGAGGATGTGGAGCCAACCCCCGCAATGGCTCCAAGCTTCCCATTACGAGAATGTCCCCCACAATCAAGGTGAGTTGTGTCTCAGTGTTCATGTCTCTAGCAGAAATATTCCACGACAACATACACTAATGACTGGACGCCTCGGTGTTTCTTTAATTCTGGGCATGGTGAAAACTATGATGATGATGATTATGATTAGTTCGCACTGGACGATCGCCCCCTGGCATCCTCTTGTTCCGAATTCCTCGGAGATACCATGAAAAAATTCGATTGATATGATGTCGATTCGGTTGAGGGATGAAATCGGAAGTTTCCGACGCCAGTTTCTTCGGGAAGGCGGCAGATCTCGATGTCTCCAAGCTGCAGAACGGCTTAAATTTGGGCTTTTCTCCACAGTGACGAAAATTTGGAGGCGGCAATCATCAATTCATCAGACAGTCCAATAAATTATTTTTCATTCCACAGTGGATTGGGCATCTCTGGCGAAGCAATGGATCACCATGCAGCAGCAGCCAACGCATCCGATGATGCCTCCTATACTTCCACCTGCACCGGCATTCCCCCCGGAGCTTCGGTCACTTGATCCTCCGAGAGACAATGTGACGCTCCATCAGGTGAATTGTCGCCTCCCATCTAGAGCCACATGTCTCATTCCATCGCCTCATTCATTGATTCATCATTCATGATCGCTTCATGCCGCGCGCTAATCCACCAGTGTTGCTCTTCGATACGGTGGATTGAGCGATTCCCTCGCAGCTCGATCAGCAATATCACAGATTTCCTGATTTGCAGGACACGTGGTCACAGAATCCCCAAGGAAGCAATTCAGACGCTTATTTCAAGAGAATTGGCCCGCCCCCTCCTCCGCCACCTCCCCCGACACCACCGTTACCGTCTGCGGATCCGAGCATATGGATTGCGCCACCCCCGGAATTCCCGCCCACTACGCGGAAAGTTGTCGACTACAGCCACGGGAGCTCGACGGCCTCGAGCCGTTCGTCGAGCGTCGTTATGGACTACGCTCATGGGGACGGAGGTAATGCCAATGTTCCCGAGAGGCGGGTCGTGGACTACGGACATGGGTTCAGTCAGTCCGGAGGAAGCAGCTCTCTACCCCCGGTAGTTCCACCGGTCACCCAAGCTGCGGCAGTTCCTGCCGTCGCACCGGTCATCGCTGCTGATTCTACGATTGCTATCGGTTAGTCAGTCCACCGGTGGGCCACCGTTATCTGAGATTTCCTCACGAAAGACTCATGAACACACATGAGCAGCCCTGACGCACGGATCCTTGGAGCCCAAGACTTCAGAGGATGACTATCAGCCACGAGATTTCATTCCAGACGCGATGAAACGGAAAAATTTACCGGCATGGATTCGGGATGGCTTGGAGAAGATGGAGCGAGAAAAACAAAAGAGGAAAGAAGAAGAGGATCGACGCAGGAAATTAGAAGCGTCTAAAAGACCACTCTGGACCCGAGAAGGTGACTAAGCCCTCCGGGGGATCTCGCCGCCCCCGCGTCGATTTATATCTATCCAGCTACAGTATTGATAGCATTCCGAGTTATTCATTCCGGAACCCCATTCCAAATCAGATGAAGAGGAGGCAGAGGATGACTCTGAGGTACGGCCGTCGTCAGGAACAGGCAGACGACGCGAGGAAGAGTCCGACGAAGAGCTCCCGGACGTGGAAGCGAGCTCCCTCAAAGAAGTTTCAAATCTAGATGCTCCGCATGCAGACGAGCGTAGTCGCCGGAAAGCCAGTCCCCCGCTGATTCTCCTGAGTCCTGAGGAGAAAGAGCTCCAATTTGCGCTTAACGTGAGTCATCTCTGTCCACATCCCTCGTGGCTCATCTCAATTTTAATTTACGTACGGACAACCTCTGAAGATATTTGACTTACTGCGAGTCTCATCCCGTTTGCAGGTGAAGAGACTCATAACCGAGATTTTGATGTCGGTGCTCCAGTCAGAGACAGCAGAAGTTGCTCAGGAAGAGATCCGTCGTGCCAGGAAGCGCTTTGCTGCCAAGCCAAAGAAAGTCACCACTGCGCTAGCCAGCATCGTTGGCCTAGGTGAGGCCTCCTTCATGCCCCTCTCGTTCCTGTGCAATCCACCGTTTACGAGTCTCCGTCCGATGCTACAATTATTCAAAATCCTTTTCTCCCACTATGCCGTGCAGGCGGTTACTCCGATTCAGAAGGCTCTGATAGTGATGATCAGGGCCGTCGCTCGAGAGGGCGTCGCGAGGACGACGATGAAGAGTCGGATCTTGAAGAACGCATCAAAACGCGACGCAGGGAGTTCCGGAGATGGGAGGAATCGGCTCTGAGAGCCCTCGACGAGAAAGAGAAGGAACAAGAAAGGAGAATGCACGGAGACAATAGGGAGGAGTCTGCCAGTCCGCCGGGTCGCGGAGGCCGGGCAGCTTCGCGAACACCGTCTCCGAAAGTCTCCGCACAGAGGGCGAGAGCCGATCGCTCAGCGTCGAGGTCGCCGAAGCAAAGTCGGACGGAAATCCCAGAGAAGAACCAGGAAAGGATCTCCAGCAAAGATCGTGAGTTCGCCGATCACAATGAGCTCATGGTTTCTCTTTGAGCGGAACCTTGTCGGGGATTTCGTATGACGGGTCGTCAGAATGGAATATTGCGGTTATTGCAGATGACGCGCAAAAGAGTCCGTCGCGATCTCGCAGCAATACCAAGGAATACCAGAAGAAGGAAAAAATAAGGAGAAGAAATAGCTCCCGGAGCTCCAGTTCTGCGAGCAGTAGATCTAGCGGAAAACGGAAGAGAAGTTCTAAGAAGGATCGACGAAGGTCTGCTACATATAGATGCACTCTCTATGTGTGCTGGGTTCTCCGTTGGTAGTTTCTGTTATCGTGTTGGATCCTAGTGTCCCACGAGTCCGAAGGTTCCCCATGAGTCTCGCGGAGCTCCCTCGCTGTCCTACCGTAGATACCGAGGTCGGTCATGGGTTTCCGGTAGGGTTCGCCTATGAATTATAATGCGGAGATTCCTCCTAGATCACGGAATCGGGATCAAACCCGAAGAAGGAAAGACTCATCTTCGCGGAGTCGAAGTCGGAGTCGCAGCCGCGATCACCGGAGAGGCAGGTCGGGTAGTAGAAATCGACGTCAAAGGTATTTTCCGATCCGAGTTACGATTTTCTTTCGATTTCTCCTCCGAATCGAATGGGCGCGTGAATTATAGCGCCGGAGGGAAAAGATGCTCGGAAAATGCTCGGAGTCACTAACGAGTGCTTGATCAGGTCGAGAAGTCGCGACCGACGCCGAGACAGGTCAAGGTCTTACCAAAGGAAAAGCTCGAGGGATAGGTCTCGAGACAGGAAATCGACCCGGGACAGGTCCTGGGAGCGGAGGGGTTCGAGAGACGCCTCTCGTGACAGAAGACGCCGACGCGACTATAGCAGAGAGCGGAAAAGACGTTGTATAGAAAAAAGTTGAATGGCCAAGGTAAATCACATGTCTTGCACACTGAGCTCCAAGAGCAGGTAGGTTCATTTGACCTCATCGTTCGATTGGCTCGTCGCTAATTATTTATCCAAGTCGAGAAAGGCAAACGTACGCAAGACAAGAGGCACTCAGAAAGATACGGTGCATACTTTTCACTGATGGGTTCAGAACTGCGAGAGGCTGCGCTCGCCTCGGCGCACGCTCCACGTTAAGCAACCGGGGCTTCACGCACGCGAATGAGAATATTTTTGCTATTTCTCTTCTGTTTTGCAGCTAGCACTCCCTCCATCAGACATCCACACATCGAGAGATAGTGATTTCGCCCGACCTTAACCTGGCTTGCTAGGTCATCGTGATTGTGTAATTTTCCATACGATACTAATTCGTCAGCGGTTCGCGTCTGTGCCGCAGGCCGAAGTAATTATAGAGCAGTCACTCTAAGGGGTGAGCAATTGGTTCTCATCCATCTATCTATACGAATAAAGGCGTAAGCCCCGACATCCTCGTGGTGGGACGTTGTCACTCGAGGACGCATTGTCAATCTTAATTCCACCACGAGAGCTCGCGTAAGCAGCCTCCCTGCGCTGTATGTGTGTTTATTGATGATGATATAGTTTTGTGTACAATGCGAACACCGTAAAATCAACTGATCGAGCAACAAGGAATCACCGACCACAACGCCTGTCTGTGATCGAAAACGTGGCGAGAATGTCTCGGAACTCGCTTGGGAAAAGTCGGTGATGAGAGTACAGATCCGCGAATTCAGTCAAACGCAGAGCCCAGGGCAGGAAACCGAGGTGCGAATTCAGACCACCGCAACGTATTAACAGATCTGGTTCTGGCCAATCACAGGTTACTGAAAAGCGGGGAATTGAGACTGCAAGATCAGCCCGAGGGAAAATTTCCGGCTCGCATGCTCCCATCTCTGCCGGTTGGCAGGGACGAGACCCCTCGGGGAGGGTCCCTCGAATTAATGCCCTTGAAGTGAATAATTCTTCTGAATGAAATATCGTTGGAAATACCTTTGAGCATGTTATCAACACTCTTCATGGTGACTCCTGTCTGAACTTGATGCAATTTTCTAGCAGCTTCCACGATGGCTCCTCGGCCGTCCTCGGCTGCTGCCAAGTGGACGTGAACTTCCTCCCGAACTGCGTCGATTGAATCTATGATGAGAGAGAAAAATACTTTCAGACTCCGTATCCGTCTGTGAGGAACCTACAAAGGAATCTCACGAACCGACTTCTTGGTGGTCAGCCGAGCTGAAAGAATGGAACTTGATACTGAATTTGCTCGGCGCGAGCTTCTGGATGCTGCGGAGTAGTTTCTCGTCTGACTTTTTGAGGATTCCTGCGGGAATGAGTTTCCGGTCTCAATGCATCTGATATATGATATGATCTCGTCGCGTCACATACATGGGCGCAGGAGCTGAAATTCAGAGAAACTCGGACTCACCTCTCGGCTCATACAGCGTCACATAATTTATTCCTGCTTCATGACACCAACAGATGAGTTTGGCAACATCGCCGAAGCTTATCTCGGGCTCACTGAAGACGATCGCTAAATGATCTGGTCTCTTCTGAATATTCTGCGGTGGAGGGGCGGTTCCTCAGACAAGAACATCTAATCTCCTCGAGATTCGATTTCATGTATTATCTCATGGCATGATCATGATGATTCAGGAGACCCGTAGATAGTTCGACCAAGTCTCAATTTAGAAGCAGTCCGCAGCTGCGAGTGAACTCTAAACTTTGGAAATCCACTCACGTGAAGCAGCTTTTCTGGGCATCGTTCCCAGAGGTATCGAATCCCATGCTTCATTTTGTAGAACACGAAACTCATATACTGATGTAGCGTGAGCATTCTATACAAAACGGCTAGAACCACTACGGCGAAGCGGCTGAATACCGAAGGCTTATCTTTGTTCTTTGCAGCCATGGTAATAAGAAACTATAAGCACTGATCAGCTCCCGACGACCTCCCGGGACGGGATGAAAGCGTTGCCGATCCAAACGTTCTGACAGAATGCCGTCGATGCCCCAAAGAGGCGGATTATGGCTGGCCGTCGCCTAGGCGAGGACTGGTCCGACTCAGGACCATCGGATAGTCATCGCATCGCTTATGGACCTCAACTTCCAAGAGGTTCGTTGTGCCGGCTCGTCGATCGTTCGGGTCTCGGTGAGAGCGCGTTGTTCCGAGGAGCTGTCCAGCTGATCGTGGTTCTTCACATCACACCAGGGAAGACAGGACACTACCTCGTAGCTCCGCCGCTCAAGAACACCCTGCCGTATATTCCAAGAGAGCGCTGCAGAGGATAGGCGAACAACTGCATATGTGTGGCAATCGCCAAAGCGCTCAGAATCGGTGAGCAGACCTTACCGCGAAATTCCTAAGCGTCGGATCGCGGGGAGTCCGGAACCGGACTGGCATCCACCCGGGGTGTGTTTCCTTTGTGTTCCCAGATGGGGGGAAATTCTGAGCCCTGTCCCCGCCGAAGTAGGTTCACATTGCCTTCTCGAATGTCGCAGAGCACGCGATAAGTGCAAAGCGGAATTCCGACATTGAGTGCCGGACTGAGAGTTCCGCTGATTAGGTGGATCCAGAGCGCGCGCGATCCGTCAGAACGACACTGACGTAGGTCGTCCTTCTCTGCGATAGTACGATATTAAGGCCATGGGCTCGGGTATCGTCCCGTCAGACTCTTCGACGGGCGAAGCTGGATTTTGAGAGCCCGTCCGAAGTCGAAGCTCCTCGCTCGAAGCCTTTAGTTCGCTCATTATCATCGATGCCGATGTGGAGACCTAGCTTCGCGTGTACTCTCGTAGTTCCGTTTCTGAGCCACTTGGACCCAGACTCCGGTTCTGGTCGAGAGACGCTCTCTCCTCTTGCAAGAAACCCTTTGCCGGATAGGAGACGAAAGGAGTTCGTACTCGCAAGTCCTGCCCGGAAACTGGTTGCCCACACCCCTTTATCCACGTTTGAAATAGAGTCCTCCGAGATCCCGGTTTTGAAAATGTCTACTCGGAATGCTAGACTCGGTTGCCGAGTCGGGAACCCTACGAAAGGACCCCCATCACTTGCTGTGCGGCGGCCGAGGCGTCAAAAACCAAGACACGCAGAGGCGACTGATTCCCCGGCAACTGAGCCAGAAGTCAGAAGTCCCGTTCGTGGAAAATTATAGTTCCCTCATAGATTGATCATCTCCGAATCGCACGATGAATATGGCGGCTACAGGAAAATCATCAGGCGGGCTTCGAATCGATGTTCTGGAGATCTGCCGTCTCGGGCGTGTCGGCACGCCAATGACCGGCAAATACCGTTCTGAGCACCAGGATGAAGTGAGTAACCGCGGCCGCGCACTCCTGAGTGGTTTCGTTTATGATCTAGAGAAAATCGGCTGTTACAATGATGAAGTGATCTCACCGCCTCTCTCTCCCACTTCTCTCCTACGGAGACGGAGGCGAACTGCGTGAGAAGGTGTGTGGTATTTCGCGGGAAGATATGCTGTTGGTAAATACGACTTTTCACGACGACACGGCGACGGATGTGTATGTATGTGTGTGGCGATTGTGTGTGAACCCTTTAAAGTGCGCGCCAAACTGCGGTAGTTGGAGAGGGGCCTACCCCAAAAAGAACAGGGTACATGGAAGGAGACGCTGTTCGAAGGAGTGCTCTCGATGCAGTGCGATGAAATTTTAGCGTGAAGAACCAGTGGCTAGAGATTAGAGATTTTGTATCGCATGAGATTTGTGTGCGTCGAGCCGTCACCTGTCCCGAGCCATATGCAAGTTGGATGGGAGGATTGAATTCGGAGAATTTGAAACTCTAAATTTTCCGATCTACCGTGAGTAAATCCGTCGTACAAGTCCCTCACATATTCCAAAGGCAGTCTGAAGAGCGTCGAGTCCCCCCGGAGACTTTCATGGAATACAGAAGGATCTTGAGACATGATCTGCTTCTTGAATCATTCGTTCTTACAAACCCTTTAGGACAGTCTCCTCTAGGAAACAGTGCTCATCATGGAAGACGACCTGTATGCGGATCTGGAGTTGTCGAACTCTGAGGGAGAGGAGAACGAGAATCATGGTGACCAAGAAGCGAAAGGAGATGCGACCGAAATGGACCTAATGGATGAGGGACTAACCAATAAATTCAAATCATCTCTCACTCCGAGAGTGGCACCCCCTCCAAGAGTAGATATCGAAGTGGAAAAGGTGAGACTATTATACCTCGACCATCTACGATGAAATAGCCTAATGTGTATCAGGAATCGCGCTCCAATGTTGATCCAAACATTCATTCTCGACTGCAGCTCAAACATGAGGTGTCTTCCCTGAGAGAGAAGAACCAGATATTGGAGAAAAATCTTGTTCTCCTGTACAAGACAGCTCATCACATCTTCCAACTGAAAGACAAGGAATTGAACAATCTTCGAACGAAGTGAGTGATTCGATTGAGGATCGAGGCAGTCTTCCTAAGAATCGACACGAATATTGGGGTGTAATGTACTCATTTTCATGAGCGTCTGCCTATTTCAGGTATGATGATATGTGTTTTCGTCGACGTGACCAGGCCAATCCTGCAGCTCTGCCGTCTATAGCTCCTCGAGGGCCTGCGAACGGGACTCCGTATTCCGCGAGCGAGAATCCGAGAGCTCTCAAGGGATGCACGCGAGCTCCTGAGCAGACCGAGTCGGCCGGTCCTACATCGCGTCCAGTACCGGAGCGACTGGGCCGACCCCCGATGTCTACAGAGTTTTCTATGTTGAAGAATTATTCCGAGCGTAAGCGACCCCCCGGCTCGAACGTGAAGAAGCCAGAAGTGCGGTCGGACGCGGGACATCCAACCACTGAACTGCTGCAACGAGATCCTAAACTTTCGCCGCGAAGGAGTTGTCCAGATTCACGGAACAGCAGGTCTAGGAAAGCGACTGAAGGTCGAAACAAGCCATCTCACCAATCTTCCTCGCCAGATGCACCTCGGAAGAGTTCTCGACATCTGGGGCCTGATGCCGAACGGAAAGAGCTTCGAGAGGAAAACGGTAGAGTGCCGAGCAGGAGATCCCGGAATCCTCCCGAGCGGGAGCTCAAGCACGGAGAGTCGCAAGATCTCCGACACGGAGATTCGCGGGATCGGAAAAGACCTCGAGAGTCTTCCGTGGAGCTGCGAGGACCGAAAAGAACTCGGAAAAGAGATCCGGAATCAGACGAGGATCGCGGTCGAATCGATGAACGCGAGCGATCAGAACAAGCCAAAGGGAGGGATGACGCTACCAGAACTCAGAAGAGTAGGAACGGACGTCCCCTCGAGAGATCCCGGGAGAAATCCGGAGTCAGGCCACGGGAGAGAGGAGATCGTGCTCGTTCAACTGGGCAAAAAGATATATCTGACGGAAATAGTGGAGGATCCTCTAGGGACGAAAAAATTATCTCCGACAAGGAGGCAAAGGAGAGACGGAACATCCCTATAAAAAAGGATCCCGAACGGAACCATCGACCTCGCGGAGATTCGAGGAGAGACTCGCGCCGGAGCCCTGTGAGGTGCGGCAGTATCGGTAGCCTAAGTCATGCGAGCACCGAATCTGACTCGAAGAGTCAAGACAGCAGGAGACAAGAGCTAGCGAGAATCGAACGAAGAAGAGTCAGTCCTGTCGGGTCAGAAATGCCCCTAGATACCCGCGGACACAGACAGACGGAGCCTGGTGGAGACGAGTCAACTGCCAGAGCGGGGCAGCTCGATGGCGGATTGTCGGAGCCCAAAGTTTCAGATCCCGTCGACTCGGGAAATGGCAGGATCTCGGGGCGACGAGACGAGACCCTGGAAGCTTGTGAAGCTCGAGATGACATTCCCCGGTATGCTGGCGACCCGAAGAAGATAGCCCGGAGTACGCCTCGGAAAAGGCGTAAGGAGGGGCCGGTCACGGCCAAGGCGTGTCCCGCAGTTTCCCCCAACCAGAGCTCCGGGTCGTTCAGTGATGTCAGTATTTCGTCTATATCGAGCAAAGTACCCGGTACCTCTCCAGAACCCCAATTCGATAGTGTAGCAGAGATTCCCGGAAAAAGTTCAGGAACTGTGACGAGTAGCTCAGATTCATGGAGTACGCCGTCAACCAGGAGTGAAAGGAGGAGCGATTCAACAATCTCTCAACCCGAAAGTATCAGGAGCGACCTCGGGGTCAAGGCACGAGGTGATCGCGAAATTTATGTTCCGAAGAAACCTTGTCCGCGAGACGAGGATCCGCTCCGATGTGAGGAGGAGTTTCACCAAGGTGAGCCGTCAGGGTGGAGACAGAATAAGCTCCTGATTCGACTGTACGAAGAATGAATGAACAGACTCATTCTTGAATTACGGCGTCTTATATCTGAGTTTTGCTTCCCTCCAGATGACGTCATTGAGCTCCGGAGAAGTCCAAGGAAGCTCATGCGGGATCATTCAGTTCGCGGGAACGCCGATCGCTCGCCCCTCCCGGGACTCATTGCGAGCCCTCATGGGGCCCGTCCCGGCTCTAGGAATCGCCATAGTAAAGAGCCCCGACGAATCCCGAAGGAACGCATCGGTGTTTGCAGAGATCCCCGTGCGCGTCTCGAAGCCAGGACTCCGGTGCTCCTCCAGGCCGTCTTCTGGATGACCTCGCCTCCTAGCGAGGAGAGGCATCGCGATCCTATATTGCAGACGCCGACTGATTTTTCGCCGAGACGATCGCCCCGGAAAGTTCAGACAAAAGGTTTTACCGAGAGCGACACAGCCCTGCTTCAGAGTTTGGTGGACGAGCCTCCAATGAGCCGCCACAGGACGCCGGCTGACTGCCGGTTGAAAACGCCATCAGTATCCCCGACAAACCATGTCACATCGTCCCCTCTCCATGCTTTGCCGACTGCCGATATGTTGAGTTCGAAATGGATGGATGAAGAATCATTCGACCTAATGAAACCACCCGAGACCCCTGGGAAGAACCTCGATTTGAGCCATAGCTCATGTCCAAGAGACGACGAGAGTTCGCGGCGATCACTCTCGTCGGATTTCTCGTTCAGCATTTGAGGCGAAGCCCTGTGAGCGAGCTCTGTGTTGATACAATAATGACTAATAATTTCAGCTCTGTAGATATATGTATGTACCTATGTAGATTGTTGAATCATGTTGTAATAGTAGTAGTTCAATGATTCTTCGAGGCTTGTGTTTTAACTTAAGGATCGAGAGGATGGTCCAGAATCAGGCTCGAGTTAGGACATCGATTGATTTTATTGCTTCGTCATTTTTCCAACATCAGGACATCATGACCATATTATGTATATGTACAAGAAACTGTACACGATTGGCTTACACAATCTGTCGCTCGCGATCTCGGATGCGGTTCGTATGGATAAATAAATCAATAAATAATGAAATGCCTCAGAGCAAACTGGTCCTCCCTATAGGCATGGCCTTTCTTGTGTTATTTTTTGTGGATGATGAACTGCCAGGATTCGAGCCATCGGAGTCGCTCGAGCTCTTGTGCGGAGAGTGCCTGGCCGCCGTAAGCGAATGTTGTGAAATGGAATGCAGCCCAGATGACGACGACGAGCCACGAGAAAACTCCCACGTAGAACGACCGCCGCATCCAAGAGTATCGAGTAGGCACGAGAGTGCTGCGGATTGGAAGAATGGTATACATTCTAGACGTCATTCAAGGAGTTCCACGGGGATTACATTTCTCCATGTTCGGCATTCGGATCACGCAAAGACATTAAATCACTCACCTGAGTATCTGGTCGACGAATTGGATGAGCGCCGCGATGAGGAGAGGTTTGAAGACAGCGGCTGGGAGATAGTGATGCAAGAACAGAGATCGATCGCAGAAGAAATATGGCAAATAATGGATCAAGAAGCCTCCGACCAAAACCTCGGTGATGAGGAATACCGACCGGAACATGTCTGGGGAATTATTGTTCGTAGAAATCTCGTATTCATCGTAACAGCTCCGGACATGATCTGTGCTCCACGGAAGTTCCTTTCAACCGGCACTCCAAATGAGCCAGCAATTCGCTCACCTTCAGGAATGTCGTAACACATCCGCCTCCTTCTTAGGAGTAAAATCAATAAAACTGAGGCGAAGGATGGGACTGCTAGGCTTCCGGTCCACCATAGGATGGGGTTTCCGAGAAGGAAAATTTGAGCGTTCGAGTCCGGACTTATCCAGTAGGCGACCCCTCGGAGGAGGAATGGCCACTCTACCGGGGAAGATGCGAACATGTGATCTTCCACATTCTCCTGAAACGGTTTTCCGATGAACGCGAGACGAACACAATTGAAAGCTTGCTCCACATTATTGCGCGAAGCCTCGCGGGGCGTCTTTGCTTACATTGTCGGCAATCAGCATCTTATACTGAAGTTCGGCGAATTTCTGCCAAAACGAAAGCCTGGTTGGCTCGAGAGGGACGAACTCTGCAGTGACCATGTCCAATTCTCTTTCTTTGTCGTCTTTCTTTTTCGTGTACCTGTACGGAGGAATTCGGATGATTCTCGATACGGTCGTTTGCCGACCGCGACGTGGACTCTTTGGCTAAGTGCGGCTCGATTTGGATCAGCTACGTCAGTCGCGAATCGTACCTGTGTTCCTCGACATTCCAAATGGTGTCATCCTGATCGATCACTCGATCTGTGACTATTTCGTGCTGATTGAAACCCCAATCTGGGAGTTGTTTCCCTGAGAACTTCAGAGCTTGCCCGGAATCCACATGGATAAAGCGAACTTGCGAGTGGATCGTCGCCCAATAGTCTCCTATGGCGTCTCGATTGAGAATTTCCTAGAAATCCAATGAGCAGACTCCTCAATATTTCTGACGGCTCGACTTGACTCCCAGAATCGAAGTGCGGGTCAGCTCAAAGAATTCGTCACTCACCACTCTCCACTGCGTGTGCGGAGGGAAGCGAGTGATGTTGTAATCGATGTAGCAAGACACTTCCTGGAGGGCAGGACTGAGCGGAGATGCCACATCGTGGGAGTTCAGCAATCTGTTGCAATAATGTCGATAGAAAACTGCTGGCTCTATCTTGCTTTTCAGGCCGTCCTTGTCTTCCCCGGTCTCTTTCTCTCCCGATATGAATCGTCTGATGTACATACCTCATTGTGATTCCATGAACAAACTCGACTACGTCTCCGTGTTTGATACGATCGATCGGTTCATCAACGACCAACTCATTCATCCCGGGTCTCTTCACGATCCACCAATTGTTCACGTCCTTGTATGAGTAACAGGTCACCTGCTGCTGGTGGGACGAGCCGCGTCCATCCGGGTACCTGGGGCCGCGCGTAAGCAGTTAAAATCGGTTCGGAAGCAATTTTGATTCTTCGAATTTAGGAAATAAGGCCATTTGAATCGCGGTGGATCGGGCACGTTTCTTCCCAAAACCAATCTTACCGTAGAGGATAGACCTCGTTGTGGGAATGTAACCAGCAAGTTCTGCCCAGAGAATGTCTCAAGGTGATCTGCGAACCATGGGCGATATAACTCGGCTGACCTTGAAGGAGGAAAGAAAACGTCCTTGAGCTAGACGTCGTGTGGGATGCCACTGAATGAGTCGGATATCTAAGAAACCTCACCTTTCGTGATGCTTGCGAGTCCTCCCTCGAGACTGGCTTGGAATCCGCTGGTCATAATCGTATCGTGGGGTCCAGCCTTAGTCAGAATACTCAGATGAATATAAAACACCCCGATGTAGATGGACAAGGGGACGATCGTAATTACCGCAGCCCGAATCAGGGTGTGAATCGCTAGCATTTGATCCGTGACGGACCGATCGGAAAGCATCTCCCAGAGGTCGCGCAATAGAATGTAAATTCCGAGAAGCAGTGATAATGCCCCAACATTTTTCACGCTGGAAGGAGGAATCATTCTCTGTATCTCGCGGAAGAATCCCTACCCTGCATCGACTCCGGATTCGCTTACTCACCACAAGGCGAATCCGTACGAAGCAGCTGCTCCGATGAGGAACGTCCACCAGGCCGGCCCGAAAACTTCATTCCGAGGCAACTGACGGAACTTTAGTGTGCAGAAGAGGCCGAGCATGGCAAAGAATATCAGAATCGCTTCCATTAAAACAAATCGACTCTGCGTCAGGAGCGCGGTGTCAGTGAGCAGGAGAACGCCCGCCAATGTGGCCGAAGGCTGTGAGAAACCCAGGAGCAGACAAATCTTATAGCACAATGGTATCAGCAAGGACCCGAATAGCGCTGGGACGAGACGCAGCGCGAAAACGGGAACTTCGGCGGGATACTCCCCTCCGATCCGATCGAGCTGCGAGTTCCGGAAACCACAGAGGTAAGCCACCATGGAGATTATCTGTTTTCCGAGAGGCGGCTGCGAGTCGAAGAAGAAGGTGTTCGATGCGTATAGCGAAGCGTACTTGACGAAGTGCAGCTCGTCGAACCTGTGGAATACCGCGACACACTCAGTCATAGGATTCTTGGACATGTCGATTATATGAACATTGGCTCGAATTCCTGTCTACTCGACAGGGCTGCTGAAAAACATACACGACAGATCGTGGGAACTCCAATCGGTACAGACGCATGGCCAAAGCGAGAACGAAAAGACCAATCGATGGTCCGTCGAGCGTGATTCGAATGCTGAAGAGATTCCTTTTCGATGTGAAGAAGAGCCCCTCATCTTTTCGTTTCTCCGGGGCGGGTAGATCGTCACTTGAGCTGGAAACCTGTGGATCGCAGAAAGATGATTGTTTCTCAATATAGTACTTTGGGAGCTTATCTGATCGGAAGCTTCGAATATCTGGTCGAGACTTCGAGATCCTCGCCAAAGACGTAACAAAGGGCCCTCCCGTCAAAAAATTCGACAAACCTCTGGCGATGCTTCCCCTACCGTAGAATCTACGGATTGGGTTGATATGGGCGCATTCTTCCGTTTCCTCACTTCTCCACCACCGCCAGCCATGTCTCAAACTCACGACTCAACGTTTTCACTCCGACATCTTCAGAATGGGAATGGAGCCGCTTCTCGGAGTTTTCGAACAATCGAGATGCTCAGTTCGTATCGATGACAGCGGTGCTTCAAACTTCATCTGCTGTCTTCGTGGCAGCCTCAACCAGGGCTGGTGACGTAGGAGAGGGCAAGATGCACTTCGGTTCGTCGAACGAGTCGTTTCGGCAAGGATTGCGTCCAGTCCGTCTGATCCCTTGGCGATTAAGGATAGGACATTGGAGTCGCTCCCCGAAGTCCACGGTGGTCACGAAAACTCAGAAACTCAGCCATCATCAACCGGTATCGGTCGCAAGAAGTCGGCGCTTTCTTGGTGATGTCCCTTTCCCCCGTCCATGAGGGATTATCCTTTGAGAAAAGATACTCTTTTACCCCAGACACACGCCTGTGGAGCCGACTGTGTCCCGTATCACCGACGTGAGACTCACTCAGAGACATGCATCTGGACCGGATGAGAGTTTCGATCTCCATCCAAGCGGATATATGATGGAAGGCGGTATATGATGGAACGCTCGAGTCCCCCGAAGACGTCGGGTCTGATTGGGAGAGGATCTCCGGCAAGCACTCGGACCAGCCGCCGCGCGTGCCGGCACGGCTCTGAGACGGTGCTCGTACCGGTGTATCGCGCTTTAGGAGCTCTATCGTACCCGGTCAGATGAAACGATGGATCGTCGGAGAGGACAATTCTTTATCGACTGTTCCCATCATCGGCTCAATCTGGATCATCCCTTCAAGCGTATGAATCCGTGAAGAAGTGAGGGCCGCCGGAATGAAGTACACATGTTCAGTACTTCTGAGCTGCAACTGTTAGGAACAGGCGAGATCTCCCCGTTTTTCCTCCGGGCCGATTTTACCGGGGTCGAGGATGTGGATGACCTGAACGACTCCGGAGGACTGTCCTCTGATACGGGAATCTCTGGCAAAATTCCTCTCCAACCGGAGCGCCTGTAATTCGCAGCAGACGACGCCGCTCTCGACTTGGGAAGCAGACTGCGCCGCACCACTGAGTTGAATTCAAATTCGAATTCTCCGCCTTTGAGAAAAGAAATGACAGCATAGAACGCCGCGAGCAGGTCGGCGAATGTACGCCGTCTGTACGTGGTAGGCGCGCCGAGTACACCGACAGTATCGAAGACGCCACTGTGAGCCGAGTTGAGTCTCGTGCACTCTCGGGGAACACTCTTACTTCGAAGTCGGGACGTCGTGCAATTCTAGGATCATCCCTGATCCTTGTACCGTGCTCTCTTGACTTTGATTCAAAATCTGCCAATGGTCAATGTGGTGAGAGGCATTCTCGTCGAATGCGACGCGGCGATGAAGGAGTTCCTGAATCATCTGGACGAAACTAGAGCTTTAGGACAAACATTCATTATCCAGGTGGGTGCTGGATGAATCCGAGAAGGAATTTCTGTGGATGGAATAGAGAGACCCTTTGATTCCCGTCGTGCCCAGGGAAAGCGCACTGTAATATTGTTCACGTCCTCTTGTAGGACCTTGATGAAACCCATCTATTCATCGCCAGTGAAATCATCGATACCCTTCTGAACAAAGTTGACGATCTCATGGAGAGGCTTTCGTTCCCGATTACGGAATGAACTTTCTGACCGCGCCAGTCGAGAACCCTCAGAATCTGAGTGGGCAATCTATCTCCGTGTGATGAATCCTTCGCATCGGCCGCAGCATTCCGACCGAAATCACTTCGAGTCTTCCCACAAGGCAGGAGGAATCCAGCTGACAGACTTGCTCCGAGTCGATCTCGCAGCTGAAATCGACCTTCAGACCATCTCGCTCCAGTGGGAGTGAAAATTCTCCGCTTGTAACAGGTAGGATTCTACAGTGAGCTTTCTCGCTGTCTTTCCCTCTCCCTCGACTATCCATACCCACAGCTCTTCATTCCTCGATAGGCGAGCCTTCCTGCGCAGATACTGCTCGCTGATGATCAGTCAACAGCTATGACATCCGTATCGGTATGATATACCCCATGTCGCAGACTCGGTGGTGATATGGACGCAGGTCGAAAAGAGACTGAGTGCGATGCAACTCTCCAAGCTCAAGAGCTGATCGCAACAGCTCGGAAAGATGCTTCACAAGGAACTGGCTCCCCCTCAAAAGATAAACCTTAAATATTTGACATCGCAGCCTCTCGTGATTTGACATTTAGCTCACTCAATGAATACAGTGATCCTGAAGGACTCCAATGAAGCTCATGAGCAATCGAATTGGCTTCTTGAAGCACGGCTCCGGGGGCAGGGTTCTCGAGGAGGTGGGCCTCATTCCAGGGGGCTCACCTCAACACCCCTCTTGGAGGAGAAAGCGACCGAAATCTCGTAATGGGGAGGAAAGGGGCTAGGTTCTTTGCAATGGAAAATTATTTGCGTCCTCTCGGGAGACTTCATATATTCCGCTCGTTCAGGTGATCAAGCCGGCACTTTCCAGGGTAGGTAGAAAGCGAGTTCCCCCCTCGAGGAATTCGAAATTGAAAGAAAATGAAGTCGGCGCAGTGGTGCCCTTGGTGCGTGCTCTTCGGAAGCATGTTCTCACGGGCTATGAGGCTATGACCAATCTAATGCATTGGGAATCAAGATCGCCGCGTTGCGGAATGAGCCTCGCGACAAAGGTTGGTCCCGCTTTCGGTATCTACCAAGGTGTTCCAGTCAGATGGGCATGGGATATAGGATCCCTCACAACGAAAATCTCCTTTTTCCAAAATATTGGAGCATATCGGATCAACGGATCTCTACCTCAGGAGTCGAAATGGCCTCCGAATTCCGGAGGCTCGCGAGGTCCCCAGCGAATCGATTCATCGAGATAGCTTCCACGATGGATAATATAGCTTAGGAATTTAAGAACTTTGTGTTTTACTCGCGTCGCAGTTCTTCCGCACAAATTTAGGCTCATACATTTCGGTCCCTCGTAAGTTCGAAGTTTCATGTGGCTTAGGTTCTTGAATTTCATAATTCGCTGCGAACTCCTCGTAAGATCGTGTCTGTGTCGATCGAAATTCAGAAAGCGCGCGTCTCCACGTCGGATGCGTTATAGATTGTCCGTCTATCTTCAAGTCCGAACCTTCGAGGTCTGATCGAGCGATCTTCGGCCTCCATTCCTGTGGCCACGGCTCTCATCGACCTGATATACATATTCCTCCGCGGTATTCGCATCTGCTCGAACAAAACGATGAACATCTGATTCGTATCGAAATCCGTATCCGCGTTCCGTGTCGTCTGCATCAGATGTTCGTCGTCGAAAACAAGCGGCTCTCCCTCCTTCTCGGCTCGCTCGGTGGTCAGACTTCAGACGACTGATCACACGAAAACAGTCTTCTCTCATGTCAGCTGTCTGAGGTTGCACTGCGGCTCTCCGGCGGCGTTCATGCCAGTTTTGACAAGAGTCTGAAATCCCTGAGTGCGTATCTCATCGTCACGAGTGAAGTGTACTCTGATATGAAGTCACTCCTCTATTCTCGAGGCAATCGATTCCAGTCGAACGGGGGGAATAATTCCGAGAGGGAATAGCGCGAGCCGATGCAACGATTGTGCGTATAAGTAGGTATCCTAAATCGACGTATCCGGATGGAACATCTGCATCAGAAAACGCTCCGGAAGTGTGGAATGACAAATTCGGATTCGATTTGTCGCGGAAGTTACTCGTCTTGAACGACCATTCAGATCGTCGTCGATTCAGAACGGAATAAGTCCGTCGAGTGTCGATCGATAATAATAATTATCGAAGGTTCTGATCGCAACATCGAGGAAGCTCAAAGGTGATATGGATTCTGAAGAACAGACAGAAGAATACGATACCTCCCTGACGGAGGCCCACACTTACCTCGGGGAAGGACTCGAGAACATGCGTGGCAGGTGAGCTTTTTTCCTCAACCCTTTAGTGCCCGTCAAGGACCTTGACATCATCTCTCTCATACATTATTATTATCATTATTATATAAATATAATATTGGGTGACATTTGCTCAAGTTCGCGCCGCCAATGACCCTGCAGGTGTTGTGAATTCTGAGAGGGGTGCCTAATGAAATCGAATTTTCTCCAGGACGATACTCGACGATACGGTAACGCACCAAATGCTAGTCCTCGCAGGCAGAAATGTCACCTTAATTCCCGGGGAGACGCTGCCGCTGCTGTTGCATCATAACGAAGAAGTCCGGCCATGGTTGAAAACTCACAAGGTTTGTGGAATCCTCCTACCCCCAGCCCTCCTCCCCAAACCCTCCAGCCATATTGGGGCTCGCGGCCTATCGCACGAGACCATACCAATTGAAGGCTAAGAACGTTCCGACTTCCCGACGGGTTCCCGCGCTTTTCCCTATCGATATGCTGGGGCATACAGTTTGGCCGCAGACTTCGCGAAAACCCCGTGGAGAGAACGAAGCCTCGGCAAGAATCAATATAGGTCTGTTCTTGTTGTCCAGACACCTCCGGTCGCTTTACGCCCCTTACTCTATCACTCGGCGAACAAGATGCTGGCATATCGGGAAAAATATCGGGGACTAGGATCTTATCCCCTCCGAATCCGTCAGTGGGAACGATCTGTCCCCGTTCGGGCCTGGAATTATACCGGAGAAACCTGTGGATCAGCTGAAGGAGGTGAATCAAGGAAGGAATCTTTCACAGGTATTCGGTATCCTGTATCCGCGGCAGACGGTGTACGGCACCACGGCGGATCTGCGGAGTTTCAAAGAAGAGCAGAGCCACGATGGATATTGGACCCTAACTGTTAAAGCCGAAGGCTCACAACGTTTCAAAGTCATCGAGAAGAGAATTATATCGCAAGTCATCTTCATGGCTGAAGTGCGAATTTTGCCGGACAGGAGGCTACTACCACCAGAACAGCACCTGCTGCTCGAGGGGAATCGACTTCGAAACGTAATGGGGAAATTGACCCCTTTCCCGCAATGGGTCTACAATCAGTGTCACGAGAGAATCTTGATGAAGGAGCTCAGCGAAGTTATGAAAAGCATCCTGGGCAAGGTGATGTCTTAGTTAGTTGGCGGGTGATGCAAGCACATATACTCCAGTCGTCCCAAGGTCCCTGATCGTCCCAAGGAACCGACAGCTTGAATCCGCGATTCTCTGTCTTTGATACGAGCATTCATTGTCCTATGAATCGATCGAGAATCACCGAGCCGACTCTCGCTTTTCCCCGCAGGACCCGCCCGTCAAGGATCCCACGGCCTTTTCCTACTGGGTGGTCGCCAATGTCCCTATAAATGAGGGCGACAGGAAAGTTCTCCTGGCGCTGAACTCGTCTCAGGAGAGGCTTTTCATGGCCAAACACTACCTGAAATTGAATTGTAAAATATGCTGTGCGGAATGCTTGTCGGAAATCTCCACGAAGGACCACATGTTCAGCATGTCGACTTCGGGCGCACAGGTGAGCTGACTTGTCAACACATTCGGCTCAAATCTCGAGGAATCAAAAAAATGGAGAAGCTTTTCGCAGAAAAGTTTTTTATTCGAACTCGAGTTCCATCCCGGTCTCGGGAACTTCTTCCAGGGAACGTTCGTGAACATGGCAGGCTATATTCACGAAATGTTGACGGTCCGACTGGTGGATGGGGTTTCTTACGTTGGAGCAAGTTCAGAGCATTATTCCTGGTTCCCTGGCTACGCCTGGCACATTATCGAGTGCGCAGAATGCGGCATGCATGTCGGCTGGAGGTTCGACGCATTCTCCAGATCTGAACCTATATGAATCCAGATCATCATGATTACGACTTGGGCCGAATTCCGTTTCATGATACGAAATATTTCAGATTTTCGACGCAAAAAAATCTTCAGCCACAGAAATTCTGGGGCTTGAGCCGCGGCAGCGTGAGATTCGCACCGATCGATAATATGAGCCAACTCGACAAGGATGTATTCATGGCAACGGCCCAAATGTCGAGAGCGTACCTCGATTCGACCCCCGAGACTTACGAGACTCCCCCGGATTTATAGGAGCTCGAGCCCCGACTTGTATGTGAATAAAGTATCTGTAGCTGATTGACAACTCGTTCTAACTCATACCCTACTCGAGCACACGGGATGCCCCCGGGTACGCCACTGCCTCGAGAATTCGGGCGAGCTGCCCCTCTCTGGCTCGATATCATGCTCCCAAAAGCTCCGAGCGGGGCCACCTCACCCAGGAGCTATGTACGTACGTTGAGGCAGACAGACAGACCGAACTGCCTTCTGGCGAGTGCGGAGCCGAATCAGATTCGCATTTCTTCGAAGATCAGGACAGGAGGTCTGAGACAGATGATCGAGTCTGGAACAACGGACCAGAGCGAAATTTATTTTGGATTGGAATGTTAGAAGGAAAGGTTGCACAGGTGAGCATCGCGGGAATCGTCCAACAGAGAGAGCTCAGCGAGATTGTCGCTGCGGAACTCGTCAGAGAGCTCGTATTTCTCGCACCCTTGATGAGCAGATGAATCTCCCCAGGAGCGAGCAGCCTAATTGAAATTTTGGATGTCCTCTGCGGAAGGATTCACTCGTTTCGCGATCCATCGTGAACACTGGGTTTGCAATTTTCGGATCGGGATCACGATGGGGAAATGCGCTGTGGACTTCTGAACAGGTGTTGAGCCTATTGTCGGCGTCGCACTCGTGAAATAGTATTCTGAGAGGTCGCACCGAAGAGAACGAATGGACGAAGTCTGTATGTGTCGGTTCATGTATCTGACTCAGAGAAATTCGCAAACTCACACTACTTTGATCATGCAAGATCCCCATCGTGAGATTCAAATTATTTCCTTACTCCGCCTACTTACGATTTGTTCCATGGATAATTCGACCCGTCCTGGCGAACGTTGTCCACGAGCTGCGGTCGTGCTTGTACATCGATGTTCGGTGCCATGATTGGTTTACAGGTTGGATTTCGTGGACCCGTTCGGGGTTTCCTTGGGCATTGTCGAAGTCGAAACAGAATGAAAATGCGCCAGGGAACGCCCGAGCTGTCTCACGATTCAAAACGACGCGGTGGGAGACATCTATCCGAAGAGAAGAGTCATAGCTGTCCTCCCGATCTGAATCGGGCAAAATCAATCCCTTATCATGCTCCTCGATTCGGGGCTGCTGCAACTTCTTTGGAAGAGGATATTGAATCTGCACGCCGAGTTCTGAAGCTCCTCCGCGTCAATAGAGGCCTCGACAGATGGATTGCCATGACTCGCTTCCTGGGAGATTCCATGTATCAAGGAGCTTAGTACCGTATACGGCTCATCACACACGCCGGGGAAGGCGAGGGCCCGCGGCAACGGTCGAACGCCCGAAGCAGGTTCCAGTCCGAAGCTGTCGGACGAATCGCATCTCGTTCCAGAAACTCCTTCACGGGAGACATTATTCAAGCGGTCTCGTTCGCTGTCCGCGGACTAATTATTCCTTCCATGAGATCGCCCCGGAAAGCTGTCTGAGCCACACCTTTTTCCCCGGTATTCAATAGCTCATCGTCGTACAGAAAGGAAGACAAGACATTCGACGTGGAACGAGTCTCGAGTGATTTTAAAAGCGCTGTTCCGAATTTCCCATTCGGAACCTCGATTAGGGGCATTGGGAAGTGTTGATGTTACGGTGGTTCTGGATGCCGACGCATGCTCGTCCGGAATCCCCCACAACAGCTCCGCAGTCTTCGGTCAAACGTTTCCGTTCATTTGGTTGAACGACACAGTTTGACAATAACAATCGAGAGTTGATTAGATGCTAGCGGCTCGGGAGGATCGGAACGAGTCATGCTAAATCACAAATTACTTTTCAGCGAGGCAGCCGACCAAACAGTCTGTGGGTCGGTCTGTTTGTCCGCCTGGATTTCGCATGCTAGCTATATCTCTTGCGCGCTTGCTTGTTGTTAGTTGCCAATGTTAGTCCAAACGGACCAACTGGGCGTTGTGATGAACGTTGATGTGGCGGGCGATGGGTCGTTGACGTCGTTCGGCTCGCTGGGTCTGAGTGAGTAGAAGAACAATGTTGCGGAATGGACAGGTGTACAACACCGAATGAGTTGAAAGTCGAAGCAAATCATCGCACGCAACTTGAAGTCGTCGTGCGAAATCAGCGCAGTCCGCACCAAGACGGCTCGATATGATATCGAACCACGACCGTGTGCGCCCGAAAATCGTAACGGAGTTTCCTCTCCGAGCTAGCTCATGCTCACACGCGGGGAAAACCCGATCTGAGACGTTCGAAGACCAGAAGAGAAAACAACGGCAAGAAGGCGAGAGGCACGGGGTCCTGGGACGAAGACCGACGCATTAGATATCTCTGAGCTCTCGCTCGATTCCGAAGCGTGAAATTTGTGGTCAGGTCGAAGAAATCATTACTCTTTAGCTGCTGTTTCTACAGTTGCTTTTAATCGAAGGTAATGAGAGGAGTCTTCCACTGTTCAAGGATCAGTTCGTTACAACAAATAATTTTTAATCGGACACGCGCAGCACACCGTTACGGCTATTTCCCGAATAGCCTTCCATCCGAAAAGAAGAGAATTGGCTTCTCGCGCCAGATTCTCCTAACTCCGATCCGAAGAGCATGATCATTGATCGGGGAGTCTCTCATCCTCGTACCATGTCGAGTACACGAAAAATCTCGAGTTCACGCTCGTGAGAGCTCGACGGCGCCATAGGACTAGAGCTCGGTATCGAGCTCGATGCGAAAAAACTCATTTTGCGGGGATGGGCTCAGATCCAGGATCTGATCGATCTTTTTCTCTATGAACTTCGCACCAGAAGCGTCATGGTTAGCGTGGCGGAGTATGAGGATCGGAGACGGAAACCACGTGAAGACCTCCGGGGGCTTCAGAATCGAGACAGGCCGAATCTCCCGGAAAATCGAGTCGAGAACTCTTCGAGTTTCCGGACAGAAATCTTCTAATCCGACGACCAAGGAGCGCTCAAAGGGTTAAATCTGAAATCTGTCTGAGCGTGCTCCGTTCCAACAGGTGCTCCACCACCACCAGACACTCAGTCAGTCAGTCGCGGACACTTACCAGTAGTTGCCACAGAATTCTCTCGAGCGAGTTGAATCGAGAGAGTTTTGGTGAACCTCTGAACACGATCCAGGCCCAGACCGACTAGCAGGCAGACAGACAGGCGTTCATCCTCGAGCGCATCATCGGTCCGACTGACTGAGTGACGTTGCGTGGTGCTTTGGATGTCAGTGGCGATTGCAAGCGAACGGCGGGCGTCCCAAGCGAACGGCCAACGACCGCATCCTTCTTTCCCTCGTCCGTTCGGTCATTACTAACACAACCACTGCCAACTACTACTACTACTCCAACACAGCAACCAACGGCAACGAACCTACCAGTCAAGCAACCAACCAACCAGCCACACATCCAAGCACGCAGTCAACGAAACGACTGGCCAACCGACCTCAGCCGCTGCCGCGCCGCCGCCACCATCGCCGCCGCTACTGACGGTTGGTCACAGGATTCACTCAGTCAGCCCGATAATAATCAATCACCGAACTCTGGCTCGGCGGGCTAACCCTTTGTCGGGTCAGCCCCTGGATTGGAAACCGCGTCAGCCATGGGAGTCCACGCAAGACTATCGCCTCTCGCACCACGGCTCGAACACACTCGTTCCTCTCGTCGGCCCTGCCATTCTGAGCGACGGATTTCCATCGATGTATGACGTCGCTGTCCGCGCGGTTTCTCTTAAATAGACAGTCGACGGACCGACCGACCGACGGGCGAACGAGCGGATACAAGAGCGAATAAACGCTGCATCTCGAGGACCGCCATGTCCTGAGTGAGAACCGAAATTTACCTCAGAGCACGCTCGCGAGGAACCGAACGTTAGGGCAACGCCGCGCCGTGGGTCGATGCCGTCCATGTGAACGCAGTCAGAGTGCTTTGAACTTTCGCTTTCAGTAATAGCGTTCACCGAAACGACAGGCGTCAGCCAACCAGCTGATTATTACGGCAGGTCGTTGCATGCGAGTTTCGCCACCACTTGCATGCAATTTCAAGAAGACTCTTCTCGCGATCGACACGATGCCGTGCGGGGGAACTCGAGCTGTCCACGTGCCGTGCGTGAAATCTCCTGGTCTCTAGGCCGGTCGAACGAGCTCGAGCTCTTTGTTTCAGAGAGTCAAGGCTCCGAGACCTTGTTGACTAGAATCCCGGCCAGATACTCACGTGGATTTTCCTGGAGCATCACTGGAATCTCTGGAGTCCGATTTCCTCGAGTAGCGCCGTAATTTAGGCACGGGTAGAACCAGACGGCCGCGCCGCGTGCTGTGTCGGTCTGGTCATCCGACTGGATGGTTGGCTGGTCGCCGCTTGGTTGGACGCTTGGCAAAAAGCATGGGTTGTTGGCGACGCGCGTTGTAGCCGCAGCAAAGCATTCTGGGCGCAGCTCTGAAAGGGTTGTCTAGCTGTAGTTGCTGCTGCTGCTGCCGCCGCCGCCTGCCCGGTTGATTTGTTCGGCGCGGTGCTCTGTCTCCGAACGAACTGCAGAAGGGACCGTAGACGGACCCCAACCCGATGTAATTCAGACTCAGTAGACCGTACATCCTTTATTTTGGGTCGCTGTTAACACCGTTTATTGATTGAAAAACATGCAATTCTCTCAAGATCCCGAGACGTCGCTCGGGCCGACCGAGCGTCGGGCAAGCGAATGTCGTACGCAATGAGTGCTCGGTGCCGACAGTCTGATTATTATCGTTGTTTCTGGCCGAGGGAGCACGGCTCTGAGAGTTCTGCACAGAGCGGGCTCCTCCGATAGAAGCGGCGTGGCTTCGCCTATTCGAATGTTGACCTCTTCGTCGTCGGTTAAAAATCAACAACAACTGATGGCACGCTATCGCCGGAGTGGACTCGTGAGCGAGCCCCCGAACGACTCCCCACGATTATTCTCATCCATAATGATACATAATTTTAACTGATTTCCCTTTTCGTTCGACGATTGGCCAGTGGACGCTTGCTTTACTTGGCGTCTAGAGACTTGACATGTGTAGCTCTC